AAAGTAGTTTTGAAACCTAAAAACAATTTCAACCCTTTTGAAAAAAATGATTTATTATATTTTCCTCAAAAGTTCGAACACCCCTGAACACACACATTCTCACGAGGAAAAACAAACACATATGGCCTGTAGTAATCGGCGTTTATGTGTAAGAGAGCTTTTCTCCACCAAAGCTGAGTATTGCTGGGTTCAGTCTAGTATAATTTATAATATATGTAATTATTTGTAACTTCCCTATTTATTAATGTATTCTTTCTGCAAGTGGTTTTTAGTATAATTTTCACCACTGTTCTTACTTCTCTAGGCCAAATCAACAAATATTGTAAATATACTTAAGCCCTCTGCCACAAGGATGTATAATGTCTTAGACATTTCCCCTTGTAGTCACTTTGTACAAAATGTATGTAAAAGTAAAAGTATATAATAAATAAACTCAAACTCAAAGAGAGACATAGAGATAGAAAGACACAGACGCAGCTTGCGTGAGAGAGAGAGAAAGATAGATAAAGAGAGGGAATTAACATCGTGAGTAAGGCAAACGGAGAATAAGAAGAAAGGGAAGAAATGAATAAATAGATAGATAGAGAAAAAGAGAAAGTCGGGGTGAGAGGTAGAGAGAACTAGAAAAAGGAAGACGAAAGGAAGCGATAGTGTCATAAAAATAACAGATAATGAAATAAGTGATAAGACTGAAAAGTGGAGAAAGTGACAGAAAAATACACATCGTAAGAGGGGGTAAACAATGATTGGGAGAGCAAGAGAGTTAGATAAATAGAGAGGAAGATAGATATAAATATAAAGAGAGAGCGAGGGTGAGAGAGAGTGAGGGGGAAGGGAGAAAGAGAGAGATATACGGAGGGGGAGAAAATGACATTGCGAGTGGGGCAAACAAAGAATAATGGAAGAGATACATAGATGTAGATACAGACAGACGCAGCGCGCGAGAAAGAGAAATATAGATATAGAGGGCGAATTAACATGGTTAGAGGGGCGAACAGAGAATAATTGAAGATGTTAGTAGAGATAGAGAGAGGTAGATAGATAAAGAGAGAGGGAGAGAAAGACTGGGTGAGAGGGGCAAACAGAGAATAATAGAAGACATTAATAGAAATAGATAGATAGATAAATAGAGTGAGAGAGAGACGGGGAGTGTGAGAGAAAGAGAGAGAGAGAGAGAGAGAGAGAGAGAGAGAGAGAGAGATAGAAACAAAGAAAAAGAAAGACTNAGAAAGAAAGAAAAAGAAAAACTCTATTAAGTCCTGGGAAAACGTTTTCTTAAGGGTAACAACAACAAACAACACAAATACGTAAAACAGCTCTCTGATAGATGGATAAAGAGAGAGAGAGAGAGAGAGAAAAAAAGCGGAAAGCAAGCGAATGGGACAAAAAGAAAAGTAGACATAGAAAGAAATAAACGATAAAACTGAAAATGGGAGAAAGTGACAGAAAAATTAACATAGTAAGTGGGGCAAACAAAGGTTTAAAGAGGGAGAGATTAGATAAACAGAGGAAAGAGTAAAGATAAAAATAGATAGACAAAGAACGACAGAGAGACAGACAGATAGGAGGAGGAAAGCAAACTGGAAAGGATAAGCAAAGATGACAGATAAAGATTTAAATGATAAGTGTTTAAAGGCGTGAAAGAGACAGGGAAAAAACGAAAAAACAAGAGAAATATATCTTACAAATAGGTCAAACCGAGAAAATAGGTTTTGGCAGTATAAGGATATAAAGCAGAACCTTGATTGGTCCTATGACGTTCTCTTTTAGTCTTTATTTTTTTAAATATCGAAAATACGTCTTCCTTTACCCGGCAATCTTTCTTTGAGAGAGGTAAAAGGAGAAAACTTTTGTACTTGGTTAGGAGGATTTTTTTTTTAAATGTCTGTATTTATTTATTTTACTGTTTTGAGATGTATGATTAAAAACATTGTTTTTGGCACTACATAGTGTGCTCTGAAATCTATTATATTCTCTTGGTAAAACTTCAACTTTCAAAGCCTTTTTTTATAAGACGAATTAATTGTAATCAGCGAACAAAGGAAAATCATGTTGTAAATCATTAGTGAACGTAAATTAAGAGCAAAACTGCTGACGTTTACTCCACCTTCGCTCAGAATATCAACTTCTCAGAAGAACCTTTCGGCTTCCTTTGGCACTCATCTCTTGCGTCTTAATTTACTCACGAGAGGAGAAACATAAGAAATTACAGGGACGAGAGGTAAACTCTCGAGTAACAGAGCGTAAGGAGTGAACATACAGAGACCCTTGTTCTTAGGTTCAAAGGACACCCTTCCAACCATAAAATTCGTATAAGTGAGTGAAAACGATTACATTTTCCTCAAATTGTTTTACCAAGCGGAAAGAATTACCTGATATTTGCTTTTGAGAGAGTGCCTTTGAAATTGGATTTTAATTTCATCCTACATCTTGTATATGTGTTTCTAATGAATCCACCTCTTCGTGTTTTATTAAATATTTTCAACTTTATTAATAAAACTAAAAATAATTATAGTTCAGGAGTTTTCATTTGGCTATCTTACAGCGTTTTACACTATTAAAAAAATGTATTTCCTAATTCTCCCCCAGACGAATCTCATGTTAAAAATCAAATTGTCTAAGTGTTAGTAACAGGTTCGTTGCCATTTTTTCATATCAACACCAATCTTTCTTTCCACACACCTTCTTGTCCGTCAGACTGTAAGGTCCTAATACAATCCTGATATAAAAAAACCTCTCACTCAGTTATCAATCCAATAGCTTAATAATCTACCTTTCCTTCGCCTCATCATAGTCCTTATAACCGTCTGAAACGCCTATTGCCCGAATTCTTATCCTAAGTGACTTCTCCCTTCTTCACCATAGCCTCTGCATCCATAAGTCCATACCACTTCTTCCTTAATACCATTACAATGGAATTATTTTACCACAGGCATTTTATTTACTTGTTAATTCTACAATTTTTATGTAAAAAGTCACTGCTTTTCTTCTAAAATTGGTTAATATTATGGAATCTACTCGATTAATTATTCACCATTTTTTCGAAATGAAAAATTGTGTATAATTAATTGAGTATTTATATATTTAATAGAAGCTAATAAAATTTAGTATTAATCTAGAATCACACCTGTGAATTGTACACAGTCCCGCTAATCTAGTATAATCGATAGAAAAAGGGTTTCTATATGAAGCCGCGATTTGCTTATAACTAGAATAAAATCGGGTAGTCGAAATGAGAAGTTTGTGGCATGGGCGATCGAAGTGACGATAGCTCAAGTAGTAGAGCAGCGGCGTATTAGCCGAAAGTCGTGGGTTCGAATCCCGCCTGTGACACAAATTTTTCATTTAAAAAAAATTGTGTATAATTAATTGAGTATTTATATATTTAATAGAAGCTGTTAAAATTTAGCATTTATGGAATCTGTAAATAAATGTCAAATTATAAAGAAGGAAAAGTTCGCGAGCAAAAGAGACGAAAAATAAAGTCAGAAGAGACACACAAGAAAGAGGGGTAGAGTTGAGAAAGTGAGCAAAAAGAGAGAAAGAAATTATAAAAAAGGAAATTTGCGAGGAACAGAAACATAAATGAAAGACAGAGACACACAAGGGGAGAAAAGAAAGAAAGAGTGAGCTAGAAAGAGAATATGAAAGAAGAGATAGGTTTTGAGGGAATGACAGAGAGTGAGAGAGAAGAGAAACGGAAATGGAAAGAGAGAAGCGTAAGAGGGAAGGAGAAGTAGAGTGAGAATGAAGGTGGGAGTAAAAGAAAAATAGAGATAAAGTGAAAGAGACAAAAATATTTTATATGTACGTAGTTGGATAGATTAATATAGAGACTAATATATATATATATAGATGTAGATAGAGATAGATAGATAGATAGATAGAGAGAGAGAGAGAGAGTGACAGAGAAAAGAAACGGAAAAGGAAAGAGAGAGACGAAAGAGGGAGGGAGAAGTAGCGTCAGAAAGAAGGTGGGAGTAAAAGAAAAAAGAGANGAAATAGAGAGACGTAAGTGCGAGGGAGAAGTAGCGTCAGAAAGAAGGTGTGAGTAAAAGAAAAAAGAGAAAAAAGCTGCTTTTTATATATATATAATTTCAACTATTAAAAAATGTGTGGTGATTAGGGCCCACCGTTTATCGATAATTCTTCAGAAATCGTGAGATTATATCGTGCCAACGTTTCGATCTTTATTGAAATCATCTTCAGGGCTCAAAGTGTTTGTCTTCTGTGTAATTGTGCCATTCTTGCGTGTCGTGTTGAGAGTGCACTTTGAGCGCTGAAGATGATCTCAATAAAGATCGAAACGTTGGCACGATAAAGAAAATGTTTTTCTGAAACCTATCACACCGGAACGCATCTCACTATTTATGAATAATTATCGATTAACGATCACTAATCACCACACATTTCTAGCGGATGTTAAAAATCACCCTGCATATCGGTATAAATGTTGTAATAAAACGATAATCCAAACTTTTTACTAACTACTGAAAACGTATATTTTTTCCAGATCCAGAGCCAGTGTTTTGCGTCGGCGGACGGTGCGAAGGGCACAACGAAAGGTCGAACATCCTGAGAGCCGGCATAGATTTTGTGCCTCACGTTTTACCACTCAGCGCACCCGCATCCCTCGAGCCTCACATCAGGCAGATAGTCGAAGCGTACCAGGGCCTCCATCACTGGGACTCGAACAGGATCCTCGAGGCGACGCGAGCCCTCATCACGTCCAGCTAGCCCCTTATCAATACAACGATACCAATTTATATCAGACATATGTAAAAAGGCGACTTTTTCACGGTTCACGATGGCTTGGGGTTTTTAGCCAAATAGCGTAACCAAGGAAGGAACGGCAAGCGGCAAAACGGTCAAATAGTGTTACACTCGACCATTATTAGTCTAATCATTGATCTTTCCTGGCAAACAAGACAATAATCGATCACGGTATAACTCACATCATAATTATCGCCAAATTTGATCTAAAATCGATTTTTAGATAAATTTTTTTCCGACTTGGGCACTCTTTGAATCATGAAAATTTCGAATTTCTTGGTATCGTTCAGCATTATTCTTCTCAATAAATATTTTATCCTTTTTTTTCCATCCGACACTCGTGACAGATACAATTTGCGTTTTGCACTTCGCTTGCCATTCCGCGACGCTACCTTTCTTAACGATAAAAATAAAACGTAAAAAGCCGTCCTTGTCTTTCGGCAATGGGACTCTCGTCTTTTTCGGGTCCTCATAACGATCAAACTTTCCGTTATTTTCTAAATCGTAAGAGGATATTTTCGGAGAGAGTGGAGAAAAAAAAAAGAGTTTGAGGAGTATCAACTACGAGAATAATCAGGATTTCACTCAGGGGTAGAAATAAGAGCGAAGACCCTTTTTTTCCCCCCATTAGCATACTTTGATTTTACGCTGGATAGTTATTATGCTCCCGTTCTTTGACACGATAAGTTCTCATGTAGGGTCTGTGGACTTAATCAACCCTTTCTGAAAATCCCTCTGACCAGTGAATATATTCCAAAAACTCAAAACGCCTAATTTGTTTCCATCTTTGTCACATCAAACTTTTAATTAGGCTTTATTAAAGTTTATTTTTAAAAAGCCCTTGCTGAAATACTGCAATATATTAAAATCAGCTAGATGGAACGTAAAATACTAAAACGAGAATGTTTCCAAGGTAGTAAATATTTTTTACGAGTACATTCCACTGGGGAAAATCTTTCATTGATCGTTTTTCAATCATGATAGAGTTTATTTTCAACCTAATAAACCGAGTTGTGGAAATTAACCCCTTACGTAGCCGTGTAAAGTTTGCTAGTTTAATAACTCAACTGGCTTAATAAAGCGTCTCCAGGTAATTGTGAAATTTTACCCACAACGTAGAACTACGATCGAACGATTCGGTCCCCTGGGGGCAATGTTCTGAGCATAAAATACGACCGATTTAATATTTGTCCCGTTCTTGTTGACACCTTTTTAGATCCTTTAAAACGAGTTAGAAATGTATTTTCGCATGTAATCTTCTGAATTGTTTACATTTTATTTCTTGTCAATGGTGTTTTTCGTTTACACTCAATTCATTCTCAATTAATTTGACTTAGAAGGCATTGGCGATGTGCTAGTTCCGATGAAAATTGTGAAACTTTATATCTCAAAAATATTCAACGATTTCACACAGGATTCGAAAAGTTTAAAAATGAAACAAAACACTTCAAACATTCACATTCATACTTCTACCCAATCTCGCAGACACGCGTTCTCGCATTCGCGCTAATAAATACACTCACACAAAAGAAAAAATTACAAGCAGTTTACACTGTTAAAAAGAAATATCAATTATAAAATAGAAAACTACCCACCATCAGACGCGTTTTCGCATTCGAGCTAATAAATACACTCACAGAAAAGAAAAAAATTACAAGCAGTTTACACTGTTAAAAAGAAATATCAATTATAAAATAAAAAACTACCCACCATCAGATAAGCGTTTTCGCATTCGCGCTAATAAATACACTCACAGAAAAGAAAAAATTACAAGCAGTTTACACTGTTAAAAAGAAATATCAATTATAAAATCAAAAAACTACCCACCATCAGCGTAGTTGATATTACAACGATATCTCACCGCAATCACTCTATAAGCATAAAAAACAAAACGACTTCAATGGGACTGTGAGGAACCAATATTCTACTACAAACCCCCCACTTATACTCAAAACACTCAAGCTAATAAATACACTCATGTAGAATTGTTCAAACAGTATGTCTAGAAGATATTACGACTATCTCTCGCCATCATTCACTCTACAACCATAGAAGAACTAACTTATATTCCGCCATAAATTGCGACCCCATATATTCAAAACACAAGCTGATAAATACATTCACTCAATAAAGAAACCTTAGAAACAGTATGTAAAATTAAAATAAATGGTGAGTCATCGGTGTAGTTGATATTAAACGGGTTCCTCGCCGTCATTCACTCTATAACATAAAAACTCACCTGATTTGGTGAGTCCGTGGGGTATTTTACATTCACCCACATATACACAAAAAAACTCAAGCGTTGTTTATAAATTAATCCAAAAAGGCAACTTTTCAAACTTGATTTACAATAATATAGAAAAGGAAATGGTGGACGGTCAGGGTATTTGATATTCCAACCTAATTCGCGCTAATAAATACAATCGTACAAAATAAAACTTTTTAAACAGTATACACAGTTAGAAAGATTTGGTCGAGTCGCCGGGGTATATTTCCATTTACTCCTCAACAAGATAATAACTCACTAATAATAATAACTACTGTGCGAGCTCTGCGGGGCAATCTATGTAGCTTTACCACAAAACCTATCACACATAGACAAACACTAACTATAATAAATACTTTCACTAAATAAGGAAACCTTTCAATGAGTAAATACAATTAAGAAACATGTGACAACTATCCTATAGTACGCCAGCTGAATGTTTAAAACAATCACGCTAATAAATACACTCACCCAGTGAGGAAACATTTAAAATATTAAGCCCGTATAATCAAAACATTCAAGCTAATAAATACATTCACCCAATAAGAAAACATTTCAACATGTATGCTGAATTAAAATAACATATAAGAATGAATGAATATAGAAGATAATAATAATGAATATAGGTTAGATATTCCACTACAAACTCATACACAAGCTAATAAATACGTTCACTCAATACGTATATCTTTCAAACAGTATGAACAGTTAAAAGAACATATAACAACTAGCTAGCCTATAGTCCGCCACAAACTCCACCTAGACTTGTTTAAAACAATCACGCTAAAAATACACTTACCCAATAAGGAAACATTTAAAATATTAAACCCATATAATCAAAGCATTTAAGCTAATAAATACATTCACTCAATAAGAAAACATTTCAAAATGTATGTTGCGTTAAAATAACATGTCACAACTAACTCATATTCGACCACAAACCCAAACACAAGCTAATAAATACGTTCACTCAATACGTATAACTTTCAAACAGTATAAGCAGTTAAATGAACATGTAACAACTAACCTGTATTCCACTACACACTCAAATATACAAGCTAATAAATACATTCATTCGATAAGGAAACTTTTCAATGAGTGAATTCAATTAAGAAACATGTGACAACTAGCCTATAGTCCGCCACAAACTCCAGCTGAATGTTCAAAACAATCACGCTAATAAATACACTTGTAGATTCTCATGGTATAGGATGGTATGATATGGTAAAAAAGAATACTAGGAAGCGGGAGTTGCGCTTCCCAGGAACTGCTGCCTTCTGGCATATTGTACCTTCCTAGTTCCTTAGTTCCGTGCAATAGACTCAATCGTTCTCCTTTGAAGTATCAGGTCATTGACTGGCACTGCTGCAATTTGATTCCCTAAGTTTTTCCGGACGTTAGGTTAAATCTCCATAGAGCTGTTGTTTCACATTCGAAGATGATATGAGTGGCTGTTTCTGCCTCCTCATTACATAATCGGCAGATGGGATCATCGTTGTATATACCCATGTTGTGTAGATGTTTTCTCAGATGCCAGTGACCGGTTAGTAGGCTACCACTCCTCTGAGTTTGGCCCTCTTCAATTGCAGCACTGCTTTTGCCAGTCTTGGTGAGGATTGTTTCATCATAAGTTTACTACGTCTAGCTAGAGTTTATCCACTTCTGCTTTTGTTTTGTTCGGATCCATTATACGACGGAGGATTCTATATGTGTTTTTGTTATCCCAAGTATAAGTTCGGGGTCTTCATTCATGTTCATCACTGTTCATTCTTTTCCTCCAATTTTATCTATATTTCGTTTACAATTTATATTTACAAAATTTTCAATAGCTATTTAATCTATGTCCTCAAAAAATATCTGCCATAATTGTCATGTCAGTGAAATCCAATTTCTTGGAGTTGATAGTTTTCATATGTAAAACTTAAAAAAAAATTCATTATAAAAAAGTGATAATTGGTTTTAACGATCCTCTCGCGATTTATATACAGAGTTACATAGATAACAATTTTTTTTATTGATTTTATTAGAAAATAGAAAAGTTTAAAATTGAATATCAACTTATCGTATGTTTTGCTGTTTTTAATGTCACCCTGTATAAAGCTCAATATGTTTATTTAACATAGATTTTTTTGTTTGATATTTTGTCACGTGTAATTGTTCAAATTCATTGGTAGAGGTAGTTAGTTTGTATTATAACTGTTACAAAAGCTTAAAAAAATGAAATGTGCTAAAAACCCCTTGCGCATTGTTTTACTCAAATTTGTACTTCTCGTTGGTAATGTTGACCATTGGATTTTGAAACTCTATAATTGATTGTATTAAAAAAACGATTGTGCATTGGGAAACTCAATTGATATTGCAACCCTCCGTTTTAAAATATATAGATAGTAGTTTTATCATTTATTGCTTTTTAAATAGTGTTAATTTTTCCCGCATTTATATCCAAAATACGACTGAACTTTTGAAACACCAAATTTTAAAATTTGAGCCAGTTTGAAGTGGAATACCAGTTGAAATCCGTGCTACCTTTAATCAAATTTTCCTTGTACTCAGACAGTTTTATCAATGATATCAATGTACTCCCACAATTGTAACTATGTAAATAAAATTGTGATTTGAAAACATTAAATGTTACTTATTAAAAATTTATATATTTATAATAGCTGTTAGCGAGTCGTAGATGTAGGAGTCGGTTTTG